CATTTTGGACAGCATAAGGTTACAAATTCAGCAATGCCCTTTGGGTAAAATAAAACCAGAAAACAAAATGATTATGATTGAATTATTGCATTGGTATATAAAATTTGTTGTGTGAAAACTTAGGGCCAAAACTGAAATTGTGCAGGAGACCTTAACCTTACCACAGGCCTAGCTATCACATATTCAGTGAATGTCAAGACTGTGCATTTACAAAGGAATATACAGGTACATGTATTACAATGCACCCATGAAAATAACGACTCTACCGTACAAATAGAGTGCACATTATCAGCACAAGCACATCACACCTGAAGTTAGAATATGATTGTCTCAATTCAACTTGAATCCAACATGATTAAGAGACCCACCACTCATACTTCTGTGAATCACAAGAGCTCTCTCTACAAGAGTGAACTTTTGGTGAATATTCCTGGTGAACCGTTCCCTTACAACCCATGACGTTCCGAAGATTCCACATGCACATAAACACAAAGCTTGGATCACTTGGACCTTTCAGTCCTTTTCAGTGGTTATTTCAGTGCACTGAAAGCCCATTTCGGGGAGCAAACTTACATGATGGGACCAATGTAATGTATCATCAGAGGACACATCATTGTTATCATTTGTGACGTGGAAGAGCACAGTGTGTGGTGATGATGTCGTTGAATTTAGAAAGGGGAGAAAAAGGCGTCCTCAGCCAAAAAAAAAAAAAACTCTCAAGGGGTTCCAAGGGCTGGCTCTATCAAAGGTTATAAAATTAGCTAAATCATCCCCAGAGGCAACATGGCATGCACTCTAATCAATCCTTACCATTTAGCCGACGGGGCCTTTTTCTGAGATCAATGTCGTCATCGGTCGGCCAGTGATACTTCACATACATGGATGGCTTACACTGGCATCCGACTGTACCATGTGCTTTTAATTAACTGAGTGAACGACACTTGAAAAACAATGTTTCATGTTGCAGGCTGCCCAATTCAATTACATGTAAGCTGTGAGGTTAAAAAAAAGTTATGTGGGCTCAGCCAACATTGAAAATGTCTGGTAATTTTTTCTCCTCTTTGATTTTTTCCCTTTTTCAAAGAGGATCCATGAACAAGCCAAGGAGAGCTTAAGTGAAACGGACTAAGGTGCGAAGTCAAGATTACTGCTCCCAACTTCCAAATAAAAAAAATGGAGACGGTGAACCAAAACTGACCGAACCACTTCCCAGAACCAACATAATTTGCCTGCAGACCTTGGAAATGTAATTCAGTTCTTGCTGCAGCTCTGTGCATGCATCTCTCATTTTTCTTTGATTAATGGGGGAGTGGAGGGAGTGATATCAACCTGTGCAGAGTCATGGTCTGGATGGAATGATGGATCTGACCATACCAACCCCACATCAATGCGACAAGTGCGGTGGTGATGAAAACAGCACCAACATGGCAAATGGATCTGTTGAGTGTTGGGTGTAACTGTTCTGCTGGGAAAATTTGGCAAAACCAGTTTAGGTACAGACAAGTACTGTCTTTGATGTCATTTCAATGAAAGCCTTGGCTGAGTAAAAAACAGTGCAGGGGGAACTGTGAACTTTTATCAGGGCAAAGAGATGATTGATATATGAGAAGAATGGAGACATAATTTATAGAGAGAGCAAAAAATTTAGCTCTAGCCATGCCAAGGAATTGCAATGAAAAACTGCAGATGTGTAAAAAGTTAAAACAAAACCTTTCTTATGGCATGCCACTTCTTTTTTTTTGGGAGGGGGGCAAATACGGGTGTTCTGGTATTATGTAACTCAACCCCCGAAGCCTTGAGTTGACCATGGGTTCCCCCCATGTACAGAATTGGAATTTCATATGTGTCTGGATATCTGTATAATTGAGTACCCCAAGTTTTTCATGAAAGTTAAAGACTTCTTGTAACAACTCCAGATATCACACTGTACACTATACAGTTTCAAGCACAAGCCCGTCTTCTCCAAATTCTTACAGTACTGCAAAAATGTTTGACTACCAGTCTGGCAGTGTTCTCCTCCGTGATTTGGTAGCCATGAAATTGTCTGAGTTCAGAGGATTCCCCCATCCTAAATCACAAGAACAAAGTTCTGCCTAGCTGAGGCTGCACAAAATTGCAGCAAAATGAGCATGTCTGCACAGCCCTTGCAAAGTTCGAAATGAATGAAAAAATTCATGTTGACCCCGATGCCCTGATCGCACACACAGAGATATATAAAACTCGCAAACCGAAAGTGAAGGCCGGCAGTCTGGAGGGCAGTCACGGGGCAGAGGGAGAAGCCATCTGCTGGCTCCAAGTACGCAATGTCGATGTGGGAACCACCGATTCCCCTTCCTAAACGGCCGACTATGCAGGATTGAGCGAGCAGACAGAGTTCAATGAGACTGCGGCAAGCCAACTCAAAAATGCAATTCATCCATCCTGGACTGGCAAGCCATCAGGGACAGGGAGGGCCCCTCTCACACTATCAACAGATTATTGGGCACTCTCTGCATTGAACATGTGATGATGAATGTGGTCCAATGCATCCAAGTATGCAATTACTCAGACAGAAGTAAAAAGTACCACAGCAAATTGTCTCAATGTGTGTCTAACTTGTGGCCTACCCAATACAGCAGGTGCCTGAAGAAATATTACTTCATGAACATCCACTAAGTACCAGTAACTAAGTCCTAGGGGCTTTGAAAACTAATTATTTGTGTCCATCCAGTCAAAACAAGTGCTCCTGTACACTACCAGCACTACAGGGTTTAAGTCGCGGCTACACTGTAAGTGAACATGAGTGACACACACAAGTGAGCCGCAGTCAGCTTCTTCAAAACAAGCCAGACCAGAGTATCAAATGTGCCGTTGACTGTTTGCACCTCTCGTACTAAAAGTTGCCCTGCAAAAAAGGTAACATGCTGCATTCCTTTGACAAATATATCAGTTATTAAGGATGCTAATTCTGAGTCTTGGCATAAAAGGGTTTGATGGCGCAACGCCAACTGATCCTTGACAACTGTGAACTGGCAACAACTACCAGCCCTTCCTTCTACCTGAAAACAGTGGGACCAGCTTGCCAAATTATAGAGTACAGTAATTTATCATGTTGAAAAATGTACATGCATATTCATGTACATCTCTCCTTTTGAATTACTGCATGTGACAAGAAGACACACTTGAAATATTGAACTGCAAAAGCTGATCAGCAGATCCGAGAGTGGATTGCTATTGCAAAAAAGTAATGTGATATGTCAAACCAGACATATTTTGGTTGGATTACAGGGCAACAGCACATAATTCCTGGAAAATATAAGACTCCTGATGACAGAGTTATTCTCATGCGCCATACCGTCACGCTATCTTTGGCAGTGTGGTATGAGATTGGCTGATGCTTTTCCCAGCTCCTGATGGTATCTCCCAGCATATGGCACAAAAATAAACCAGAAGATATGATCTGTTCAGAAAAATTACAGCAGTGTCAGGAAGTTTTTTCTTTCAATGGCTTCTTTAAAATCCCAAGATTTCTCTCAAATCAAGGGAGGGGGAATCATGGGATACCAGGGGACAATTTCATTGAATTGTTCAGCACAGACATTTGATGGGCACAGAGCAGCAGGTTATAACAGTAATGAAAAATGTACATTTGTTGAGACTAATGAGCACATTGCTGCTACCCATCTGCTTGTAACTGGACCCAGCAGTGTTGGAGACTACAGCCTGGTGTTTTTTTGTTTTTTTTTTGGTGTTCTTTGCACATAGATACACTACTTGTATATTATGGGTTCCATCGAGGTACCTACTAACATAATATCAATTAGCGCCATCCAGCGACCCACAGTGCTGTTTCAGTGGAAAACCCGCTGATTTTGAGGTTCCAGGAGGAGATAATTGTCCTATCTTATCCTTGCTTTAATAAAGAGTGGTTGGGTCTATTGCATTGTCCTTGAATGAAATCAGTGCCTGTGAGTGCATGACAGTTGGGTGAGAGTACTGTACGGTAGTCTCTTCCACAACCTCCACAGCGAGGTGTTTTGCGATCTGATGCTTAACAAATGACATTTGGAAGACAAACTGGGAAAGAGACAGCTGAAATGAACTCACAGAGGAAAAGCATGCACTAAGGGCAGTACACGTACATGTACATTGTGGTCAACTGGGAAACACTTTGGCCTGTGGGCCACTGATCTATGGATGAGCTGTGCAGCCATGCATGTCCGAACTAACCTCAGCCTGAAACATTGCTAAATAAACCTTGACAGGAAAACACTCTAGAAGTTAAAAACCAGACTGCATGACATACGCAGACAAAAAACAGGGTAGGGGCCTGCAGATAGGTCCAGAAACTCTGGATCAGTTCAGTTTCAAAGGCACAGACGGCAGGCCGAAAATTTCCCAACGGAAAAACAGCCAAGAGTCAAGCAGTACTGTGTCATCTAATTAGTTTTAAGTGCAGTGGAACAACATATGATAAAGGGAACATACATGTAGAATTAAAGAGGTTTAGTTAGGCGTGTTATAGAGAGACTTTCCAGCAGGCTTTTCGGCAGTGTCTGAAGATACAAGCACTGTAGCCAATGAATTTTTTATTTTATAATGAAAGAAGCAATGTTACATTGCACACAATACCAGTCACAATACATGCATAACAACATTATCAAAAACGCCAAGGACAAAAAAAAAGGCAAGCATTACAGCATAGTGGAGGGTACTACAGTGTAATTAATGCAGTCAAGACACAGGGGTGGGGGAGGCCTAAGTCAGCAACAGATCAACTTGTCAATACATCACATCAAATGTAATCTTCCCGCTCCCTGCTAAGCAACCATCTCTTCAGAGTTAATTGCTGCCTCCCCTGTTTGCAACCACAGCCAGCTCACACATGTATGTACGACAGCAGCGGGATGAGGTCAGCGGCCCTTGCAGGCAGCTTTAAAGTCACAATGCAAAGGCCATCTTATCCCTGCCACACACAAATCCTCTTAAGTAAAACAAAATCCCAGACTTCAAGAACTCACCATTAGTGTCTGGTTGCCTAGTCTTCTGTGCCTCTGTGACGACGACGACGACTCCAGTGAATTCTGCTGCAAGAGTGAGAGAGAAAGAAGATTCTTGCATGATTAGAGTGTCACTCGGCTTCCATCTTTTTCAGCTGATTATTTAACTGCTAACAGGTTTGGATTATTCATACTAGGGAGTACACAAACTGCTTTTGTCAACATCACAAATTACATGTACACTGTACATGTATTTGTCTTTACTCCATAAGTAAGCACCCAAAACTTGACAAACACTGAAATTCACATGCTGGAGAGTACCTGGTACCCATGCAGAGATGCTTCTCATGCCAGTTTGTGCACATTCAACGAAAAAGTACCTACAAGAACCTTTTGCAGTACACTAACTGCAGTAACTCTAACCACTGTGCGAACATGGCTTGTGTCCCATTCTGTCCACACACATTTTGGACTTTAATGGTCACAGATGCCACAAGACGCTTTGTAAGACACCTACAAACTTCAGAATCTCTACGTCTAGCTGTGGTCCAGTATACTGGTGATTTGGATGCAGCATGACTTCAAGTTTTTCAAAATTATCATAATACTATCAATGTTTAAGTTCTTGGTTTACAGCCCTGACTCGGGCAAGCAACGAATGTTTGGAGAACTTTTTCCCAGGCACCTTAATGTCCTGCATATTTCTTGCACGGAAAAATGTAGCGAACACGTGAATTACAGCGGATGAGGTTTCAGTTTCCAAATCTGGGTGGGAAAAGTCAGGAAAACCCTGGCGCAGTTGAGTGAGGTTGTTGACTGAGGGGCGCATCCAAAGATTCACAAGAATCTGGTTTGTCACCCCCACCTTTCTTTTAATGATTCTCTTTGTGCAAGTGTGCATTTTAAAGAAAATATTAAGAACCAATCATGCACACCTGTACGAACTTCACTCTTCCTGGCACTGTTGTATTCGAGTCCATCACAAGTCCCAGCAAGTCCATCACAAGTCATTCAGTCTTAAGCCAATTCACAAGCTATTCAAATGAGCTGTGACAAAAACATTCTTTTGTCATTGCTCACCCTCATGCCTTAAGACTGACCTTGTAAAAGGACTTGTGACTGGAATAGTGAAAGGACTCAAATACAACACTGCTTCCTGGATGGCTTTCCTGCAATTTAAGGTTCAACAAAAAAACTACAGCCACCAATCAAATCCCAAATCTGAGAAAATGCACACTACTTCCATTTAGCTTTAAGCAGTGGTCCAAGAGGCAAACTCGACAACCATCTCTGGCCACTTGCTTGTCCGTAAATTTTACAATGCATCTTCCCTTTCTCCCCCAAACAAATGGAGACATGAGGCATTTCTCTTTCTTTGTCCATTTCTAACTACATTTACTTTCAGTTTTCATACTCGATTACTTGTTTTGGTTGATTTGACGTGCGTCACCTCCTACGTCAAAACAATCATTGTGCAAAAGGCAACAAGAGTGAAGCCTAAAGGAAACAGCTTCATCAGCCCCAAGCTGAACCAAGAGAGGACCAAGCTCCTTCGGTGGGAACTGCACTTTGCTGGTTCACAAACGACTACGAAATGCATGTGTTATGGTCGTGTCGCTAGCAACAAAATGAACACTCCATCAACACCACTCCCACCAACATGGCCCTTTTCAACCAATGAGGGAGTGCTTCTGCTCAAACCACCAAGACAGAGAAGAGTAGGCAGAATGACACCTGATTCCAAGTTCCACACATGTATTTGCATCCATTCACGAAAGCCAGATATTGATTGGTACAGTGAATTTCACAAAGCTCAGCCAGATCAATCCTTGGAGTCCGGGCATGATAATTATTCAAACCAAAGCCAAATCTACTGAGTCGGTGGAATTAAAATAAAAGCCCGGGGTATTTTGCCTGCAGCTCTCATGACTAAACTCAGACATCTCGCCGTCTTACCGGTACCTGTACCTTGGGGAACTGAGCAAATACATTCCCAAAGAAAAAAGGGAATGATTAGTAACGAAATGTAATTGGATTCTCCTGTACCTGATGTGGCAAAAAGAATATCGACTCTACAGAAAATCTAGCAAAGGAAATACATCTGAAATGGACATTTTCAGTTATCACTTCTAATGCCTAGGCAGCAATTGTTTGAATGTGTCCGAGATTCTCGAAATTTTCTTGAAGTGAATTTATCCAGACCTGTGAGAATAAAAAGTGAACAAGTCCAGTCTCATTAACACACCTACTAGTAGGTACAAAGTACATGTGTGTACTGTGAAAGGGCATAAATATGTTGAACTCCCTTGTTTACTAAGGGAATAAACGTGTGCTTGGCCGGTCTTAAACGTGCCTTTAAGACCCGCTCAGGAGAATGAATGCGACTAATGCCCAAGCCACAGCCAAGGGCATTATTAGCTTTCTTTCTCCTGAGCAAGGTCTTTAACGTTAGTTTAAGACTGGCCAAGCACCTATTTATTCCCATTTATAAATACCTTCTTATTCAAACAGTCAAAAGAAGTCATTATATAATGGATTTCCAACGATTTTATTCAAAAACTTTACTTTCATTTTCCCGAACACCCCCCGTCCATTTTATGGATATTTCCTTTGAAAGTTGTCCAATAGAATCCCCTCCAATAAACTTGGCTTGCACGAGGCGAGCCGCGTGCGCACCGACTCCTGACCAATCAGACCCGATTAAACCGTCTCATATCCATGTGCCAGCGCGTGATTTACGCAGCGGGCATTATCGCTTCTCAGCAGGCATTATCAAATGTTAATACATGGTCACGTGATGCGTTTTGGCCACCAGGAATAGAAAACCTGCTCCAGGTATTCATGAATACATGGTAAAAGGTGTGACCATTCAGTACATGTAATAAAGGTATCACTACCGTATGTGTGGGTGCACTCGCAGAATGTGTGCCAGGTAATTAGCCTACAGCATGTAATTTCTCATGGCCAAATCTGGCACTCTTCATTATCGTGCTATTGAGAGCACCAGAGCATCAGCAATGTTATTGATTAACACTGTGGAATGATTGCTATGGGACCTACACTGGACCCCAAAGCAGGTGTAATTAGTGGCGAGTGTGTGTGAGAGGGGGGGGAATTAGGACATAATTGTTACTGGTTGAATCATTAACAAGCTCGTAGTTGATACCACCGTGGAACAACGTTAATTACGAGGATGGCAAACACTCAAACAAACCTAATTTCGGAAACTTTTCTGAACTAGGACTCTCCTGGAACAAGATTCCCCGGCAGCAAGCGGTAGCTGATGCAGTGCATGCGCTGACCGTTAGCATCAGATATAGCCATCGCAATACAGCAGTTGACATGCACAGTAGGCCAAGTTAATTCATGAGGTTTGTCAGTCCTCACAAGTTTAGTTTCAGCCAACTTCAATGCAATTTGAAACCTCAGATTCAGGGAGGGACTTAACCACTTTTCTGCGGGGCGAGTTGGCCTAAATTTATAAACTAGCTTTCAGCTCCAAGCAGAGGCATCTATCCAAACTGTTTTGATGATGTAGCACAAACCAAGTGGCAGAAGGACATCGTGTCAGTTTAATGGCATACATTCCATTCAATAAACTGCACTCATTGATCCCATATGTACTGTATTAAAGCCAAGACATAACTTAAGCAATAATAAAAACATGACACTATTAACCACAAATGTCATGCAAGTATGAAATCATAGAGTGCAAAAGTTGCCAAACATTTTCGCCTTTTTTCCAAGTTACAACACAGCACACATGTGTAAGGACAAAGTACACTGGCTTACATGTACAGTATACATGTACATCATGTACAGTGTACATGTACGTATACGGAAAAGCCACACAAGCACAAAATCAAAGTTACCCCTTTAAAAGAAGTTCAAACCTGGCAGTCTAAACAAAATGATATTCCACCTATAATTTGCCCAATAAAAAGGTACAGTGTATGAACACTGTTGATCAGGTGGGAGTTACATGTAACAAGGTGTGGGAAGGACTTTTTAATTCAAACACTAGAATGCAGTCAATGTGAGCGTCCTGATGGCAGAAACAGCACTGAACACAAGCCGCTGGAGATCACATTTTTCATCATATGCCAGACACTGAATCATTTTATGGTTGAGAACTGCCATAAATGTACATGTATGTTTACTGCCACCACTGTGGATTACAGCAATGCTATTAATGTCGAGCTCGCCGTCAAAGACAGACACTAGGGATGCTCACATGAAACAAAGAGGCATGTGTGACCAAGAACAGGAGCAAAGATTGCTGATTTTGCCCTCGTTCTCGGGGGGGGGGGGCACTGACACATGCATTTCCATTCAGTTGGGAGGGGGAAAACAGAGCAGCGGATACAGCCAGAAACTGAACACTTGGTGCCAAGGGAAAAGTGGGACCTTCTTAAGCAAAAAGTAGAGAGCGAGAGGTAACACACAACTCAGTGCTAGTCAGCCTCAAGTGCAAAGAGGAATCCCCTTCTGGAGTGACCGTGAACCCCCAATATTTCCTGATGGCTCACTATGCCACCCCCCTGCATCAACCACAATCCTTGTTGGGATGAGGACCGTGGCCGTGCGGTTAATGCCCCGGATATGCAAATCGAGCTAAAATTGGAGGGATGCAGCAGTACACATGCATTAAATGTCAAGGGTTTCTCAAGCTTCACCTTGTAAGCCAGGGCAGGCGACAGCATCGGTTCAGTTTACCGAGTAAATGAGATTGTGATTCTGAAATTGTCTGATCAAGTGGGGAAAAGGCAGGGGCAGGTGGGGGCATTTGAAGATCCTGTGACACCACAGTCTACCTTTTATAACTTTGATGATTATGCATTTCCGTTGCAAAAGCAGATCTACACATGCAAATGAGGCTGTTACAACATTAGTTTCTTGAAAAGTCATCCTTCTAAATGATATGCAACCCAGCCTCATAAAATGAAAAGTAACCAGAGTTACTTTTAAGTGAAAGGCCCATGAGAGACCATAGCCTAATTTAAATCAACAGGGCCCATCAATATGTTTCACTTACATAATGTCAAGTTTCATAAAGATGCCAAACTGAGTGTTATATAAAAATGGAG